CATTTGACATATTTAGTGCAAGAGGTACAATTATAGCATGGAAAATTACCCTGGGCATCAACAAGAGTAGTCGGAGAAGAGATGTAAGTATCCGCATGAACAAGCTTATCCCCCAAACTAGAACTCATGGAAGAGACAAAAAGTGGTTGATCATTGAATACAATGAATAACTGAGGATCACTTTGGATAATGTCCCAATGACTCTTAATAATCCTCCTAATATCATTACTCTCTAGATTATATGTGGATTTAAAGATACATGAAAAGCTCTTATTACTTTTATTTGTAATCAAGTTGTTTTCCTCCTGTTTATGTAAACTACGAACTTTCGCAAATGCAATGTCAAGTCACTTTTTAGGATATCCCCGTGATTTAAAAGCTGTTTATTAAACTCCGTGCCAAAATGGCATTAAAAATGTTTATGCTTAATTTACATAGCCTTCCTTATATGGTATCAGCCCATATATGGGTTCATTTGAAAGCTTGGAGTGTCTTCTTTACAAATAATATAAATATTGGTTTTAGGATTCATAAAGCAGTACAATTAAGCTTAGAAATGTATTTGTCCCACACACGAATTTCTGCTTAACGATTGCGAATAATTTTTTCGAAGAATGTGTATTTTATATATTTTTCACAAAACAGTCAAGTCATATATCACAAGAATGCTCTCATTCTCAGGAATTTGACTATGTAGATTATTTCATTGTGTGACAATCACAGATCGAATAGTATGTCAAATTTAGGCGAAAATACCAAAAAACGCACCTGAGCTTAAATGGATTTATATAAGTTACATTTATTTACAAGTATACAAGTGCATTTAAAACAACTTTGGTTGACAAAGTGCTGTACAAAATTGTGTGGGTCCATCACCCAAATTAAAATAGACAATCACAAGATGTTAAAAGCACAGGAGTACAAATAGGTTTTTAAAATACTTTTAAACTCAGGCACGGTAAGTCAGGTCAAGTCACCTTTATTTGTATAGCGCTTTATACAGTACTGGTTGTGTAAAAGGAGATTTACAGTGTCAAACAGGAAAATAGTTTGTCAATAATGCAAGAAGACAATAACAATAACAGAGTCTAAAAATAGTCACTGTTCTGATAGATAATGGCAATTTGTTCCATAACTTCGGGCCAGCTACCACAAAGGCTCCATCACCCCTGCATTGCAGTCTAGATCTGGGTACCCGTAGAAAATGACTGGTCTGTATACAGGTTCTGGGCTTTAGCCTCAAAATCCTCTTTCTTAGAACAGATACGATGGAGTCTTAAAAACTGGCTATAGGGTAACCCGCATTTTAAGGATGTTGGGTGGGTACTCTTAGCATGAAGACTGTTCTTGGCTGTGTCTTTTCTATAAAGAGAAGAGACTATTTGTTTATCCACAATTGATATACAAGTGTCCAAGAAATTGACATTAGTGATACCCACATTTGATGGAAGGTCTTAGACAGTTATATTGAGCAAATGCTTCAAAATCCCTTTCAGAGCCTTTGTAAATGACAAAACAGTCATCAATGTATCTCTTGAACAAAATGATGACATCAGGAAAAGGATTATTGTTGAAAACATATGTCCTCCAAAAGAAAAACGAAATATAAATTAGCATAATCAGGAGCCAGTGGCTAACCCTAGCCAGGAACTAACAATTGGAATTTGCATTGATCAAGTTCTAGATATGGAGAGTTTACACCTTTTTGGGACAGATGTTAACTTGCATGAAAGACATTGGGAAATGGCACACCCTCTACAGTGAGTAACATATATCTAAACTCTTAGGATCTGTTTTACCTTTAAGTTTACTTCCTGTAAGATTGAGACCAGAGACAATTCAAATGATACCAATCATGACTGTGAATATCACTTGCATTCCTGTAGAGCATTATATAATGCTATTGACCATTCTGAGTGAGCTGAGTGAATCAAATTAATAGGTAAGAAAGGGGTTTTCTCGCATCTTCTCTCCATGAGATGTGGAAACAGATTCTAATACACTCTGTGTGTATCTCAGACACTACAAGTCTCTGATGTTCATCTAATCTTACAACATAAAGGCGATACAGGACAAATAACTAACTCAAACGGAGGGCTTATGAACGCAAAACTAAGGAGCTAATTAACAAGGCACACCTGAACTGAGGACTCTAATCAATCTATAACCCAGGAGACAAACAGGCAGGGTACAGAAGAGAACATGAACTAAATAACAAACCAAAACATAACAGAAAGAAACTGATTTAGAGCAGAACAGAAAAATGACAATAAGAGACACAAATGCATTTGTCTTATATTCAGTAGTTCAAGTATTTACATTTCAAATTTATTAAGACATTAGTGTTATATATATATATATATATATATATACGTGTGTGCTGGCATGTAACTATAGTACATATATGCTCAGTTATGTATTCTAAACATTTATTCATAGTTCATTCTTCAAAACCAGTAATGTATGATTTTGTAATATACTGATGCACCACAGTTGCACAGGGAAACTGTCACGGTTAGGTTCTGTTTTATGGACTTTAGTTGGTCTCACCTGGTTTTCCTCTGTCTTGGTTGTAAATCTTGCCGTCTTTCAGTTCAGTTCTTTGTCTTGAGGTTTTTTTTTTTTTAGTATTTGGTGTACTTGCCTTTTGCTTCAATAACAGCATGCACCAAATCTGATATGTGAAATAGAAATACGTTCAGAATCTTTATTCTGTATCATTTTTTTTCTTCTTTAAAATTCTAATCCTTTCTGTTTTTCTATATTCATTAGGTCAGCTATTCATTTACTTTACAAACGAGGTGTGTACAGCATTTTGTCATTGAGTCAGTTCACTCAAAATCAAGGCCAAATTTAGTCTCTTTTTTTAAAGTAACATTTAATTGCAATCTGTATAACAACACATCACACAGAAAAAAATCATCAATTGTGCAGGTAGTATTTATTTTAATACAAAGCATATCAAAATCACAATAATGACATTGATGTTATCAAGACAACATTAGACATAAACCTAAGGCAAACACTTGTGCACCATAAACAGAGCCATTTTAAGGCAAAATACTGGCTTTCAAAGGCACTTTGAAGTGTGCTTCTGTATATGAATTCATATGTTGATAAAATAATATTTGTACTTCTGTCAATAGAGAATGCAAAAGTTTGCTTTAAATGAATAGCTTTATTACACTGCACACCTGGATGAATTATAACGCTCTTCTCCATCATTTGATCATCACTGGCTGATTTACTGTCACGCAAAATAATTTGTAATATTACATATAGAAGATGCAGGTTTTCGCACTGAAATATCACATGCAAAAGTGGTGCAGCTGAATTTGTCCTGTTCAACTGAGGTCAGCAGAGACACTTCAAATCCGCATATTTAAACACACAGAGTTTCTTATCATGAAAGACAGTGATTGAAAAATGTGCTGAAAATGTGAGCATGAAAATATACACACCCGGTGACTGACCAACATTTTGTAGGGGGGCTGTTATGTTCATTTTGGTCTTCAATCTTTCACGTGTGCAGAGAGCAGAAATGTTCATCACAGATGATTCTAACTGAGCACTGGTACACATGAATATCATTTATATACATTTATATAGTAAATGTCAAATGTCAAATATTTGTCATCCAATGTTATATGTATCTAAAGCATTGCGGCTCATCAGAATTATAATACACAGTTACATCTGTCGTATATTAATGTACCTCAGTCAATCTTAGTACCACATTACAGTGAAAAAAAAAACTGAAAAAAAAGACCTTACCAAATATTTTCCAAACATTGGTTCTATGATGTAAAATAATTTTGCTTCAGAGCATCTATTTCACTTATTTAAATTTCAGATTATATTAAAGGCTGTATTGGAAGAAATGATTTTAACAAATGTCCATATTTCGCATTCTAAAATATTTTAAAGGAATTGCAAAATAACAATCATCTGTATTTGAACTTATTTTGAAACAGCCTTTTTTTTATATTATCACATGATAATATTATGGTAAATGTACATCATTACATTGTCTACAAGTCCATGTCAGATAAACAAAATGCATAAACAAAGAAATACACACAATACAATGACAAAAATGATTAGTGCAAAATATAAAATGTACAAAAAAAAAACAAGAAAAAAAATACTGTGCTTGAGTCTGGGGCAGCTTAATCTAGTCTACTGCCCTTTCTACTCCTCTAAACCTTAAAAGAAACCACAAAATTGGTCTCAAATCAATGTTAAAAAAGCCCTGTTGATTCAGAAAACCTCAGAAACAGAGTTATAAAAATGTACGCATACACCTGGAGGTTAGCTAGAGTGTGTGTGTAGGTCAAACACATGGTCATTGAGGATTTGGTTTGACATGTTAGACCTAACACAGAATACTATCGTCATCCTCCATGTGTTTCTTTGGATAAAGACGCTGGTCAGGAGACTTGAGAGAGTAAGATGTCTTGGAGAACAGAACCAGATTCAGACTTTGACCAGTTCTGTCCCATTCTAGAGACTGGCAGTGTCAAGCTAGTTTGCAGCATTCGCTTGATCTGACCTTTGTGTCATTGGTCATTGTAAATCCAAGCATCTCCTGAGTTGATGATGAGCATGTTGTGTGAATATCAGCAGAAAGCTAACTTTACTTTGAACTTAGAGCTTACAGAACAGGGTCTTTAACTGGTCAGATTCCAGCCGACTAATATCAGTCTCATAAGACTGCAGGTGTGCTGATTCTCTGGAACAAGGGTTTTAACTCGGTGTCATGTGCTAAAAGCATGCAACAAGATATTTGATTTGTTGCTCATCTTCCGTAGCCCTGCCACTGCACACACACTCTTAAAAAGGAGGTTCTTTTTAGGCATTGACGGTTCCATTAAGAACCTTTAAAATCCATGGAATCTTTCCATTGAATAAAACAGTCTTTATAGTGGAAAAAGATTCTTCAGATTATTAAAAATGTTCTTCACTCTAAGACAAAAATGGTTCTTTTAAGAACTGATCACTGAAAGGTTCTTTGGAAACCCAAAATTGTTCTTCTATTGCATCACTGTGAAAACACCCTATTAGGAAGCATTTTTAAAGAGTGTGCAGTAGTTTTAAGGCAATGCCATGCGTTTACTACGGTGTTCTTGGTGCTTGCTTTCTGGACCAATTCAAAAAAAAAAGAAAAAGAAAAGCCCACTCCCATGTCTCTTACGTTTTTATAAACTAAATGTCTTTAAAAAGTAATACATCTCCTAAACAAGCCGTATAATTTAAGGGGTCATTCATGTCCATCACCAAAGTGTAAAACACAGAGGTATGGGGTTATTCAGATCACTAACACTAATGCCGGGAACACACTGCATGATTTTGCACGAGTAGCTGGATTGCTGTTCAGTCTAGTTGCTGTTGTGTGCACACGACAGAGGTTCATTCATTACACAACCTTTCAGGTGACAACTCTGGTCTACGAACTACATTTCACAACTGAACCCTCGAGAGAAGTGATAAAGGAAATAATGTAAGGCCGCCTGTGAGACAGTTCTCGCGCCAGCCTGGATCTCTTCCTGTTAGAAACTGTAGCCCACAAGAAGCTTGCGATACAAGTTGTCTGTATGCTGGTTTGCAGTAAAAAAAGAAAATAAACCTGAACAGACAATGGTGGCTTGCAGAAGCCATGCGTGTTCTGTTGCGGGTCTATGACTCCTCCCCCTGAACGTCCCGCTGCCCTGTATCTTGCTCTCTCATTGGCCGTAGGTCATCGCTGATGTCATTTCCAGTCAAAACAGATTTCACACCGCAGGACGCAGGACACGATACAGTTTCAGGCATTTGTCATTGATTTCCACAAAACTGTCGGTGAGTGAAAATCGGTGCTAAAATCGTTCAGTAAGTATGAACCCCTGCATGTATGAGCAAACATCACTCAATACACCAATGATCTGCAATATGGGTTGATGCTGCGCACATCACTTGTCAATGTGGACACACAAATTACTTGTCGCTGGAAACTGATCACATAGTTTCTGGTTATGACAGAGTGTAAGACAAAAACTATAATTCATTTGATTTCTCATGACACAGGCTGAACATAAAGGACAATTTGGAATGAAAAGGAAACATGTTTGTCTGAAAAGCATAAAAAAAGACATAATTCACTTTAAACACTGAATGTCTGGCGTGTCTGTGCAAAATGATAGCTCAGCAGTCCACCAGAGGCAGTCTAGGTCCCTGTCAGCCGTGGCACTCTCTTCTTCTCGTCTCTGTCCTCCAGGGATGGCCCTTCAGAGGGCACTGGGGTGGAGCAGGAGGAGGGCACGGGCCCCGTCAGGGTCAGACTCTCCATGGAGTCAGTGTTGAGGAGGCGCTGGTTCTCATGCTGGGGGCAGATCACGTAGCGGTTGGGGTGGTGGACTTCTACAGTGGCCACTGAGCCCGAACCCTTCAGGGCCCCGAGAGCACACGGGAACCCCATTATGGGGTCCCAGCCCCCCACGGCCCTCAGCTCTCCGGAGGTCTCCTCCATATTGACATAGAGTATCTCATCTGGGTCTTGGCTTGGAAGATCTTCCAGGACCTTCTCGAGCTCGCAGCACAAGATCTCAAAGCTCGGCCTGTCCTTCGGGCTCAGCAGCCAGCAGGAAAACATCAGGGAATAGCTGTGAAAACACACAGATGGCAAGAATGTCAAGCACTACTTGTCTCATGATTGGTTGTGATGTTGTGATGTTTTTCACACAAAAAACAACAGTCTTTTATTCACACAATGCTTTATTTTTAAATAACATACTGGATAGGACACCATACTAAAATACAGATGGTGTTACTTGCACTTCTATTCAGTAGTGCCACAAAAGAAAAAGATTTTGAGTTTGCAGTCTGAATGGCTGACCATTGGTAAAAGTGTCTGTAAAACCAGTTTGGAAGTTAAGTTCAGTCAACAGCATTTGTGACATAATTTTGATCATCACCATTTTATTTTTATTTTTTGATCATGAAAAATCTGCTTTACAGTGAGGCGTTTACAGTGAGAATTGAATGGGGTCAATTCTCATACAAATAATCACTATCTGAATAGTATAGCCACAAGATATAAATAAATAACATAACCTTTCTGCTTCATACTCTATTTTAATATCTCTATTATCAAATAAATAAATGATCAAATAACAAATATTGTCAAATAAATAACAAAAGCCTTTACTTTGTTGCTGTTTCAGTGACAGCAATAACCATCACATGACAATCACATCAGTCAAAGTTTTGTTGATTCTAGCACTGCATTGTTTCCTTCTATACGCATTCATAACCCAGCAGTGCTACTTCCTTTAAAGCAAAGCTTAAGCTGAGGATGAATGTAGTGTTAACCAGAGGTTAAATATATGTTAAGCCAGGTCCAAGCACAGTGTGAAAAGTCATGCAGGTTTTTGAAAGGCAAACTCACATGCTGTCGAGGCAGTCTGGAGGCTGTTTCAGACGGTTGCCCTGCCTCAGATAATCATAGATTTCACTGTTTTCCACTCCAGGGTACGGTGTCTGACCTCGAGTCGCGATCTCCCACATTGTCACTCCAAATGACCACTGTAGGACAGACAATTGCACCTTCATAAACGATATGAACGCCGAGAAAGAGAGCAGTAAATGATACTCACTAATGTAAAACAATAGATTTAGTTTCAGAGGTCTAACAAGTTATTACATTTTGATAGCTTTGGAATAATGTGCACCGGTGCATCATTCTCAATAAGACCAGGCACATGTATTTTAATGTCAATTATGAATCTCTCTGTACATTGAAAATATTTTTTAATGCTCTAGTGTGAATAGGTATCAGAAACACGTCCGCTGCTACGCTTGTTCTAGCTCTGGAATGCTATGAATCGGTTCTTTATCATTCTGTTTATCAAATCGAGGATGAATTACCACGTCACTCTTAGTAGTGTACACTCTGTCCGCCAGACTCTCGATGGCGATCCACTTGACAGGCATCTTAGAGATGCGCCCTTGTCTGTAGTAGTCTCCATTATAGATCTTCTTAGACAAGCCAAAGTCAGCCACACACACATTCATGTTCTCATTTAACCTGGTTACCAGAGATCAAATAAAACACTCAAATCATACTATAGTATGGAGATTTCTGTAGTAAGCAGCAGTGTACGAAGCACTTGAGCTGTGTGTTTGTTTCCATCAGCACTCACATGCAGTTTCGAGCTGCCAGGTCTCTGTGAATGAAGTTTTTTCTGCTCAGGTACTCCATTCCTCTGGCGATATCTGTCATGAACTTCACCAGCATCTGAGAGGGCAGATACTACACGAAGGAGACAGACATAATCCAAATATTTAAAACATCAATGCTTTTTTTCAATGTAATGTAACATTAGTCAGTGAATGTTTTTTTCTTGTTCTTGTGTTCTTGCTTTGACAGATAGGTGGAGCCAGAGACTTTCCCAGATTCTGCTCTGACCACAGACAATAACAGAAATCATAGACCAGTGGGCTTTTAAAAACACTTCTGCGGTACAACATGTTCCTGAGAGAATGCACTGTGCCTGACGTCTGTGCTTTAGAGGAACTTCATTTATGATTACAAAGGAGTTTCACAACTCTGACCATGAGGATGTGCATCTAGCCACAAAACAAACCAGTCATCAATTAGATCTTGACAGAATCATTCACTGCGATTGCATCAGCGAGAACAGCCTTGCTTTCCTCCAGTGTTTACATTCAGCAGTGATGGTGTAATGTTTGTGAAAAAAACTTCTTTTAGAGAGAAATGCTAGTGCCAGATAGGACAAGCTGTGTCTGTATGAGCCACTGTTTCAAATTTGTGCATAACATCCAAAATATTAAACTTTTTTTCACAGTTAGATTCAGATTTTTTTTTTTCAGATAAATACATTATTATTTAAAGGAATTGTTCACCCAAAAACTAATTTTAATCTCATTGATGTGGTTCCAACATATTTATTTCTTTATTTAGTTAGTAAGAACATTTTTATTTATGTTTTCATTTTATGAAAAAGAGCATGATCATGAACATCTTTTCTGAAAGAAAGTCACACAGGTTTGGAATGACATGAGGGTGAGCAAATGATTACAGACCTTTCATTTCCGGGGGAACTGCCTCTCTTTTAATCTCTTAATCGATGCTAAAGCACTCTTCTGATCTACATCTTAATGCAGGTTGCCATATATAGTTTTTATTTGCCCGATCCCCTCAGAGCTTTTCAGTGCACTCACCACAGGTGCGTCTCCGAGTCTGGAGTACAGCAGGTAGCTGTGGAGGTCGCCGTGCTTCATGTAGGGAAGAATGACGACAGGAGACGGATAGCCTTCACTCTCCACCATCTGCAGACACACACCTGTCACACAACACAAACCATCACGCTCATCCAGCCTGTCTCACACTAGTTCTTACTGAATATTCTGTTTTACTCTGAAGATATAATTCATGTGAAGAGGCATGGGTCAAAATATTGAATTGCTGATGTCTGTTTTTATTGTGAGCTCATTCAAGTCTGTCGCAACTTCTTTCATGTCCTTATTTCTGTGATTAAAATATTCTCAGCTACTGAATACGATGCACTTCAATAATTCTGTGTATTAATATACTGTCTTAATGTGTTTCCTGAAGTGTTAGACCATGTGACTGGCCTCCTGTTACTGTATTTGTCGAGATAGAGGAGAATTTCATGTTAATGAAAGTAAAACTTTCTTGTCGTTTTTTTTTGCCGGGAGACTGAAAGAGTGAACATACTTACCAAGAAGCCGCATGACGTTCTGATGATCGAACTCCTTCATGCACGCCGCCTCTCTCAGGAAATCTTCCATTTCAGTGCGAGTGCAGATAGCGACTGAGCAAAACACAGCAGGAGGATGAGGTTAGTCTTATGAGAATGATCACAGGTGTTTTCAGAGACGCTGCAGTCGCTTTTGACTCACTTTTCATGGTCTTCACTGCCACTTTGAGCACAGAGTCCTCCTGAGTGAGCGAACCCTCCATCACAGAGCCGAACTCACCTACACACGCACGCACGCACGCACGCACACACGCACGCACAGACACACACACACACACACACACACACACACACACACACACACACACACACACACACACATCCCGTTCAGTCCAGACAATACAGCACGCGGTTCCCTACGGCAGTTACGTAACGCTCACCTTCCCCGAGTGTTTTTCCCAGCGTTAGCTTGTGTCTGTCCACCATTACGTCCTGTAGCTTTTGCTTGAGCTCATCGCTGATCCCCAGAGAGTTCACTGAGAAAAGAACGAGCCATCTGAGAGATCAGCATCCAATTTCAAAGCTGCTTTGAGTGTTTTCAACAACATGTGAAAAAAACTATAGATTCTTTAGAGAGAAACCTGGTTTTGACACTGACACAATGCTGTTTCCTCTCTGTACTGTAATATGATCATCAAGTGACACAATCAACCAAAGTCAGCTGAGAGTTAAAGGTGATACCTTGCTGACGCTGAATACACAATGATTTTTATGTTTACACTCGCTTTATTTCGAGTGTCTGCAAGTTTACATGAACTTGCTTATCATGTGTTATGTACATGTAAATCTGAACCTTTTTGAAGAGACAATTGTCTGTTTTATTTCTATTCAGATGACAAAATGAGAGGTACTATTGGAATGATATAGAGGACATAATTCAAAAGGAATTGCAAATTGTATTTGCCAACCAGAAAAAAGAAGCAAAAAGAAAACTGCTGTGAAAATTGTATTTGCAATTGCGTTTTCAATTTGTGGACGCATACATTGTGACATAATCCAAATCCAATTGCAAATTGCGCATTTGTGTTTCCATTTTCTTTTCCATTTATGTAATATGTCTGTCAAATTTTAAATGGAAACGCAAAGTCCATATGCAATTGCATTTCCAAAGTCTTACGAGTTATGATTCTATCTTTTTGGAACAGCAATAGAAAATCACCATTTGGTGTTTCACTTTCTCCGCGTCCTCCAACCCGGACAAAATTCATTGGAATCACAATCCCCTTCACACTTGCATTTCCAATGCGTATCACAATCAGCTGTCAATCAGTCTCGAGGGCGGGGTTTAGTGATCTAGTGGGAAGGTATGCCATGCATTTACTGGTGGAAAACAAAGCTCCATTTTCATTTTTATTCAATCCACAATCCAAGAGATCAGAAAAGAAAAAAAAAATCACGTTCAATCGCAGCTCATGTTCAATTTGTAGGAAGATGCTCTGAATTCTGCTTCATTTTTCTGCAACATATTTTATTCATAAACTATATTTTTATCTAATTGACATAATAAATTATCAGACACAATTTCCAGTCGCACACAGGACGAGAAGTGCAGAGCAACGCACCGGTATCACACACTAGCGCTGTGTTCAAACATCTAATCACAAAACAGGCAAAAGTTCACTTCAAATATGAACAAAGTGGTGTTTATGAGTTTGGTGTTTGACAAAACAGAGCAAATCGAAAGAAAAAGCGTGATCCATGTTATAGCTATTTATATAAAGCATACAGGCTTTATTCAAGCCACAGATAAAGTTTTTCTTAAAAATGCACAATACACGATCAGTCTTTATGAACATTAACAGTAATTTAGGACAAATATAATGTGATTTAATGCAAAACGATTGCCGCGGACGGTGTGCATATAGGCCTACTCATAGAAAACAGTTTGTTTCAATTTTAAAGAGGTGTACAGCGATGCGCTTCCTTCAGTTGCGAGGTTTCACAGATCGATCTTCATTTCTTCTTGACATTGCTATCAACCACAGCAGTCTTCTTTTGGTTTCTTTTGTTTGAAGGTGATAAATATTTAGTTCCATGTTTTTGTCTTTGTTTGAAGTGAAAAAGTTTTACAACTTTTTTTTGTTGCTAAAACAGACACATTCATTGGATATTTGTTGCCATTTTCCTCATAGGATTGAATAAAAATTAACATAGAGCTTTGTTTTCCACCAGTAAATGCGTGGCATACCTTCCCACTAGATCACTAAACCCCGCCCTCGAGACTGATTGACAGCTGATTGTGATACGCATTGGAAATGCAAGTGCGAAGGGGATTGTGATTCCAATTAATTTTGTGCGGGTTGGAGGACGCGGAGAAAGTGAAACACCAAATGGTGATTTTCTATTGCTGTTCCAAAAAGACAGAATCATAACTCGCAAGACATTGGAAATGCAATTGCAAATGGACTTTGCGTTTCCATTTAAAATTTGGCAGACATATTACATAAATGGAAAAGAAAATGGAAACACAAATGCGCAATTTGCAATTGGATTTGGATTATGTCACAATGTATGCGTCCACAAATTGAAAATTGAAAACAATTTGCAATTCCTTTAGTATATTATTGTGTAATATCATTTCATAAGGTACATTATAAAACGGATAGTTCCGGTCCTTGATTCTGATTGGTTGAGCCGCATTCGAAGCTGTTGTAAATGACTCTACAAAGTAACATACACCTTTGTTTACTTCTGTGTGTTGCTCGGCAACCACTTTGTTGGAACTACAACTGTTTCTAAGGAACTACATTGTTTGGTGGAAGAATACTGTTTTTAGTAATATCATTACACTTTATTTGCTCTGTTATTTTGTGAAACTTTACTACGTATATGGAATAACCGTTTTATAAAAGCAATAAGCCCCGTGAAGCCGTGGTTTACAGTGAATTTATAACAGCTAAGAGGGTTTTAGACTCTGCTTCGCATTGCACCTAACAATGCCCCTTAGCTGTTATAAATTCACTGTAAACCACGGGTTCTTGGGGCTTATTGCTTTATTTGAAAACAACTGAAAGTCACATTTCTTTTATGAGAATGAATTTCACTCACAGAGAATGTCCGTGTCAAAGTCAAGATTTAACAGAATTTTTTTTTTTTTTTGCTTAATATTATAATAATATTTAACGAAATAATAATAATTGGACAATATTCTGGTGGTCTGAGTTCTCAAAAACTTGACATCCTTGTGCATAAAATGAACCCAATTAACAATAAAATTAACCAAAGGCAGAAGAGCATGTGCGCTAAAAATCAAGCCTCACCCTTGAGTTTTCCTAATTCAATATTCTGTTTCACTCGGAAACACAATACGGAAATAGTTCATTTGTTCTTGAGTTTTGTTCATATAATGTTCATATAATCTCAAGTGTGATGAAAGTGAACCAATTTGGCCTTCATGGAGTAATGAAAGAATGACAGAAGAGCTGTGATGATTGTGACACAAGCAGCTGTTTATATTTTCACTGACATGAGATGAACTAGCTCTTCCCAATAGCCTCTATCTGAAGAACGCCACTGACGCTCCTGAAGCATGAACTCAGTAGAGGAAGTAAAAACTGTGTTTAGCAGCAGTGTGTCAAAACACCATATGATTTTAAAAATGTTGCAAGATTGTTTTGTTCTTCGAATGAACCCAGATGGGAATCAAGACAGAAGGTGGGATAGAAAGAGAGAGAGTGCATTAAAAAAAAGAAAAAAAAAAGAAAAAAGGGCTTTGCTATTTAAGACACGCTATTTAAGACATTGTAATTTGAGTCACAAATAAAAACTCTTAATACACTTGTATATTTAACATATCTGTTAATATCGATGTGTTCTGATCATCTGAACATTTCATACCTGAGAAAATGAGAGAAAAGGAGTCAAGAATCATTCAAAATTCAGCAGCAATTGAGTGGACAAGCGCAGTTTTTTCGTTACTTTACTGGTAACCTCTTATCCTAATGATGAGAGCGTATATCATTTACTATTTATTCTCAAATGCGGAATATAGTAAGGTGTAAAGAATGAGTAGGTGTGTTCAAGCATTACATTTAGTGTAGATTTTCATTCATTAATTGCACAAAGAACTGCATTTGCAAAATTCACTATTGAAA